AACTTCTACTTCACTTAGGAGCTGCTGCAGGTAAACAGACTGTAACGTCTGCTGCAGGTAAACAGACTGTAACGTCTGCAGCAGGTAAACAGACTGTAACGTCTGCAGCAGGGAAACAGACTAAAGTCTGCAGCAGGTAAACAGGCTGTAACGTCTGCAGCAGGTAAACAGACTGTAACGTCTGCAGCAGGGAAACAGACTAACGTCTGCAGCAGGTAAACAGGCTGTAACGTCTGCAGCAGGTAAACAGACTGTAACGTCTGCATCAGGTAAACAGTCTCACTGATGACCCGTCAGGTTTCTGGAGATCTTTACCTGAACAGTCATCAACTTGATGTGACGCCCCTTGCTGACCTCAAGTCTCTACAGCAGTTTAAAGGGCCCATATTATGCCCTTTTTGGGGTTGGTATATTTAATCTATGTACTTACTTTTGTACGTTCACAATAGCTAAAGTCCGAAAAAAGTGTCTGTTTTCATGTACTGCTCCTCCTTGCTCCCTCTCCGCTCTGAGTCCGTCAGCTACGCTCTGCTGAGCCCCCACTGCTAGACCCCACGTGGGCCAAGTCTGCTCTGATTTGTCTGCCGATCAGCTCTGTCGTTATTGGTCAGTTGCTCAGCACGTGTCTCGGAAATTTCAACATGAGCTGCAGAGCTTGCCACAACGAGCCAATGGGCTTAGATCAGTGATCTCACACTGACAATGACGCCGGACTGACACATTTTTATCGAGGGGGGCTAGAACCGAGCGTTACATGCGGCTACAGCTAACAGGAGGACGTAGGAGAAGCCGTGTTTCCGCGGACTTTGAATTTTTGCACATAGATGTGCCTGAACATGCACAGGACACTTGGAAAACACACTAAAGGGCATATAAAACCAGAGAAAGTATAATATGGGACCTTTAATATCAGATATCTGTCTGTTGAACAGATTAACATCTTTACTTTAACGAAGAATGTCTCTTTAATATGTGCGAAAGATTTTTTCAATCAATGATAATGAAGTTGTATTTAAAGTGATACTAATGAACCCTCTGGTTTCTCTTTAATTTTACAGATTAAATAATTAACAACACAACAAATAAGGGGAAACATTGAAGTGAATCAGTACATTCGTCCTCCTCTCACTCCAGTTGTTTCCTCCGATGGTGATGATGGTTTTCTGTATTTCTCTCATAAATCTGTTTGTCGCTCTGTGATGTGGCATCGAGCAGACTAAATGTGCTGCTTTCAGCCTGAGAGGAGATTGTTCCAGAACATTACACCGCTGTCTGCAGGAATCCTCCATCCTGAGAGGAACGCTGCTTTCTGCAGGGAGACAGAAATATATCCCAAAATGCACGGCTTCAATCTGCACGGCTATTTGACACTTCTCTTTCAGATGTAGCTGAGCTCAGGAGTGAGTTATATATCCTTGTCAGGTGGAAGCTCTGGCCCTCGATCTTCAAACTGTAATCAACACGTGTCAGAGATCATTTCACCTCGTGAATGTGCAGTTTGGTCCCTGCTGATGGTGTCTGTGTGTGTTCTGATTAATTTAAAGCCTCTCTGTAGAGCCCTCCAGTTGTCACTCTCCACCACCCTCACGGAGCTCTGACAGCTCAGTGATGGAGCTGCACCTGGGGACAGATGGGCGGCTAAACGAGGAGCAGCTGCTGTTACAAAAACACTCAGACTCAGACTGTTCAGCTCAGACTCGTCCTGCACGGTCGCCTGAAAACCAATTCTACTGAAATGTGTTTTTGTAATAAAGACATCTGGCTGTACGAGCGCCTGCTGATGAGCCTCTTGAGACGATCAGACACACAGAGCCACAGAGAGGAGAGAGGGAGGAAAACAGAGGAGAGGACTGGCTGCCTGATGGAGGCTGAATGAGCGCTGGAAGAGAGACATCATGGAGGAGAGGTAGGAGGTCTCCATCCTCAGGAGGAGGTCTCAATGCTCAGGAGGACTGCATCTTCAGTACGAAGTCTCAATCCTCAGGAGGTGGTCTCAATGCTCAGGAGGAGGTCTCAATGCTCAGGAGGTGGTCTGCGTCCTCAGTAGGACGTCTCAATGCGCAGGGGGAGGTCTCCACCCTCAGGAGGAGGTCTCAATGCTTAGGAGGAGGAGGTCTGCATCTTCAGTAGGAGGTCTCAATGCTCAGGAGGAGGTCTGCATCCTCAGTAGGATGTCTCAATGCTCAGGAGGAGGTCTCAATGCTCAGGAGGAGGTTTCCACCCTCATGAGGAGGTCTGCATCTTAGTAGGAGGTCTCCACCCTCAGGAGGAGGTCTCAATGCTCAGGAGGAGGTCTCCACCCTCAGGAGGAGGTCTGCATCTTCAGTAGGAAGTCTCCATCCTCAGGAGGAGGTCTCAATGCTCAGGAGGAGGTCTCCACCTTCAGGAGGAGGTCTGCATCTTCAGTAGGATGTCTCAATGCTCAGGAGGAGGTCTACACCCTCAGGAGGAGGTCTGCATCTTCAGTAGGAGGTCTCAATGCTCAGGAGGAGGTCTACATCTTCAGTAGGAAGTCTCACTCCTCAGTAGGAGGTCTCAATGCTCAGGAGGAGGTCTACATCTTCAGTAGGAAGTCTCACTCCTCAGTAGGAGGTCTCAATGCTCAGGAGGAGGTCTACATCTTCAGTAGGAAGTCTCACTCCTCAGTAGGAGGTCTCAATGCTCAGGAGGAGGTCTACATCTTCAGTAGGAAGTCTCAATCCTCAGGAGGAGGTCTGCATCTTCAGGAGGAGGTCTGCATCCTACGTAGGAGGTCGGCACCCGAGGACGTCTTCATCCCTAAGAAGAGGTCTCACAGCTCATAGCTTCACATTCAGCTTCTGGAAGACTCAAAGTGTGTTTTTTTCATCCCTGGAATATTTCAAACAAAGCTGGAGGAGAAATGAATGATCCCTTCACTCCTGCAGCTTTCAGGAACAACGTCATTCCACAAACCTGGTGCTGCTCTCCTAGATCATGTTTGCACAGTCTGTAAATCCAGATCATGAGCACACAGATCATCTCCCTGAGCTGGTGCTCAATAACTGCTTTTATACATTACAGTTAAATGACCCTGTATCTGCCCAAGAGATCAATATGTCTTGCTCTGTACCATCGACTTTCACTCTGACTCATTACAGGCTGAATGTAATCAAGCCTCTGCAGTGCACCGCCGTGGGTACAAATGACTCCTCCCCCCTCCCCCATGCTGGTGTAATGTCAGTAAATCTGCCGCCTCATACTCCGTGTTAACTTCTCCTGTTACACCTTAATGACCAGAGAGTCTAGAGCCCCTTTCACACACATCAGACTCCTGAATACATCCTGACATTCAGGGAGGAGGTGCAGACCCTAACCAGGATCACACGCAGCTACATGATGTTAAAAAGTGTCATAACATCGGACTCCTTTCAGGAGAACATCAGATCAAGGCACTCTGCTCATCTTTATAACATGATTATGATCAGATTCATTATATATGAAATATAATATATTATATATATATATTATCACAGGTGTCTGTCTGACTCTCACAGGGGTTGTGAACCAATCACAGAGAAGCTGCATCTCTTCCGATGAGAACAGTAGATAATGTCTGAGAAACAGGAGAATCGATGAGGAGCAGGAGATGGAGGAAGTTCCAAAGCTTGATTCTTCATCCAGCTGCAGACAGATATTGACTGTCCCTCCAAAAACAGGACAGACTTTTCCTCCAAAGCTCCAAACACATCAGTTATAGTTAGAACTCCCTGAGAGATGGTCAGGAAGGGGGCGGAGCATCTTGCTGATGACCAATCAATGAAGTGACTAAAGGAGCCAATTTTACCTGCTCTCTGTGGATCATTACCTATCAGTGTGAGAGAGCAGAGAGTTCTCTAATGACAGTCCTGCAGAGACACAGAGACGAGGACATGGAGGACAGGGACATGGAGAAGGACAGAGGGAGGCAAAAGGGACAGAGGAGGACAGACAAGGACAGAGGAGGACAAAAACGGACAGGGGAAGCTGAAGTTAGGAGGACAGAGAAGGACAGAGGAGGATAGACGAGGACAGAGGAAGACAGAGAAGGACAGAGGATGACAGAGAAGGACAGAGAAGGACAGATGAGGACAGAGAAGGACAGAGAAGGACAGATGAGGACAGAGGAGCTGCGTCATAATCACAGGTGGAAAGCTCTCACACTGAACACCAACAATGAAGAAGAAACTGACACAGCTTTAAATCTAATCCTCATTTTATTCATTATGTCAGGACACAATGACCTGTCATCCAACCCTCACACACAAGTCATGTGAGACAGCAATCTTTCTTTGGACCAAAAACGGGAAAATATTAATAAAAAAGCAGTATGTTGTCATGGAAACAGACACATTCAGAGACAGATGTTTTTTTCTTCAGAGGCAGATTAAATCTGACAGATTTGAACATGTACCACCTGAACCTTTAAAGTTTCTCTACACTTGCAGGTAAGAATAAGGGGGGCCAGTGGGTGGAGTTTGGTTAGCTGGGGGTGGGGGGGGTTAGTAAAAATGTATTAAAACGAATGCAAACAGTACTTTTTCAGAGAAATCTTCAGAGCCAGGCGGAGCAGAAGCATCTACGTTCAGAAGATGCTTACATGCACGTTGAGACAGGCACTGATCTGGACTCCACTGTGTGGGTCATCAGTCAGGACACACAGAGCATTCTGGGAACTGTAGGCTCTTTTTAAAACAAGGCAGTCAACAGGTCTCCTGTAACAGTTCATTCACAGATTAAAAAAAAACACTCAGAGTGAAGGATTATGGGCCGTGGACAGAAAATAAAAACAGCACACACACACACACACACACACACACACACACACACACACACACACACACACACACACACACACACACACACACACACACACACACACACACACACACACACACACACACACACACACACACACACACACACACACACACACACACACACACACACACACACACACACACACACACACACACACACACACACACACACACACACACACACACACACACACACACACACACACACACACAGCTTCTTTTATGAACAAAGAAAAAGAGCAGTAAAGAAACAGAAACACCTCGGCGCACATGAAGTAAGATGTAGAATTAAGGCGAGTTACATTATAGCAAAATCTTTTGGCCCCGTGTCTCACACAGACCACCAAAACAGTCACAGCTCCGCCTCCAACAGTTAGATCTATGCTTTTCAGTGGTCAATGGCCTCGCCTCTTTAGGTGACAGAGCCCCACCTTTTTTACGGACAAAGCTCCTCCTCCAATGGCCAGAGCCCCGCCTTTTTTTAACGGACAAAGCTCCTCCTCCAACATCCAGAGCCCCGCCTCCAATGGTCAGAGCCCTGTCTCTTTAACGGACAGAGCTCCACCTCAAATGGTCAGAACTCCGCCCCTCTAACAGGAGTGGATGGGGAAATCAAAGTAGAAATCAAAGCGGTCCTCTTTGGAGAGAGTTTTATTTGGTTTGTTTTTGTGTGTGCATGTAATTGTGTGTGTATGTGTTATCATGTGTGTGTGTTATTGTGTGTCAGTGTGTGTGTTATTGTGTGTCAGTGTTTGTGTTAAAGGGATCAGTGAGGAGCTCCTCTATCAAACGTTTCGGTTGGTCCTGTTTATCCTCCATTGGGGGGGGAGGTCATAAAATATGAAACTGCTGATTTGTCAACAACCTGATATGACTAATGAGGATGCTGTGCCCTGTGGGGGAGGGGGCCCCCCGTAAGGTCCCATCCTGATTAAGAGCAGAGTCAAAGGGTGGGGGGGCAAGAAGTCCAATTTAAGTCATAAAAGTACTCCCCCCCCCGTTAATGGAGCTAACCATATGCTGGAGGGTCAGCAGGGTCTGGTGTGAGTCCTGGGGGTTGGGCACAGGCTGAGGTACCACCTGCAGGAGGAGGTGGGTCTGTGCAGAGCCCCCCCAACCCCCCTCTCAGACCCACTCCTGCATGGAGCGTTTGCAGTAGAGTATGTGTCGCGGCGTGCCCTTCCTCTTGAACTGCACCACAGTGTAGATTAGCACCAGCAGACAGAGAGACAGAACGCACGGGATCACGATGGCCACCGCCTTCACCGTACCCGCCTCGTCCTCCAGCTCGATCACCACGTCTGACGTGCCATCGTCTGTCGGGGGCCGGCCCGGGTCGATGGGGATCAGGTCGCAGCCCATGAAGTCTTTGAGGATGGAGCGGGGGTAACCAGGCTCTACCCTCAGGAGATTGTTGTTAAACTTCCAGTACTCCCCGCCCTTATAGAAGTACGTGAACCCTGGGGGGGGGGGGGTGTAAAGAGTTAACTTTATCTACCTGAGAGCACAGGTTCTATCTAAGGAATAAAACTGACACATTTTCACATTAAAGACCTATGCTGACAGATATGAGCTTGCTTCTTTTTAACAAATTTGACCTATAGCCAGGTGAATTTTATGCCTATATAGATTAACAGGTGCAGCAGGTGTTCTATACAAAACTTTAAATGAAAGTATGAAAAGTAAATTAAGTTAGGGGGGTCGGGGGGGATTCTCCCCAGAGGAAAAATCTAGCAATTCATGAGATCATGATAAATGAGGACCTTACTAAATAAGAAGCCTACTCCGTTCTTAACCATAAGCAGCCTAAAGTAACAACACAGACATCCCCTCAAACAAGTTACAAAGTAAAAATGTACCTTTTACAGAATATAATTTATATTTTTTTTTAATTCAGCACCAAAACGACATTAGAAAACGTAACATAAAAAACAATGTGGTTGTTGTTATAGTTTTTATAGTGTTAATAAAAGTGTTGTACTATCTTGTAGTTTGTGTTGTGGAAAATATAAACTACACTCACTGCGGCATGACAAGGTTATTAGGCTAGTACATTTCCTGTTAGCTAACTAACTAACTAGCGAGCGGGAACTTATCTGTTCGCATACGGCGCTGAGGGGCGGGAAACATTGTCATGGTAACAGCAGGCTTAACCAATCAGAAACACTCTATGATCCTGGGAAGTACTATGCCCTGATATCGCGAATAAAACTTCATATTGTATGACGTCACTAGTAGGACCCCGAGTCGATCTGAACACCCGAGCACATCTGGTACCTACAGTGGCAGCGGAACACTCGGCGACTGTCTGCTCTTCCTGCACATAATAATACTATAACAGTATAGTCTGTCATGTTACGGATTGTTAGTTGCCTGGTATTTTTTTCTTTGGTCTGATAAATAAATTGAGCACCGGAGCCTAAATTTAAAAAGTCCGGACATGACAGGCAGTGCATGCTGATGTTCACTACCACAATAAAAGCCTCCTACACAGAGCGGACTTCATGTAGCAGATAAAAGTACTGACTACATTGTAATGCCACACAGACACAAAACTACACTTGTGTTACAGGATTCAGATAAATGCCTGACATTAAAGACAGCATTTTGCACGTTTGTCATTAACCCACATTCTGCTCGACTTTTTTTTGTCTGACTGACACTGACAAAAAATATTACAATTTTCGAATTGATGGAAATCCGTTGTAGCGTCTGAGAACTTTAATCCCTGCACAGACATACACACAGACACAAAGACACAGAGACACACAGACACAGATTCTCTCTCTCCTGATTGGCTGATTCCTGTCAGGTGTGTTTGTGCTGGTGTTGGCAGTGAGCTGTAGGAAAAATCAGAGCAGGTGTTGCTGAACACTCCGACCATCTGTGACAGGATAGGCTGCCAGACCTGAGGAGGGCGGGGCCACTGGAGAGGCCAGGTGGAACAGGAAGAGAGGGGGTGATAACAGAGGGGGAGGGGTGTGTGTCTGTGTGTGTCTGGCACACTCATAACATGACCCACATGATCACTCAAAGAGAGTGTGTGTGTGTGTGTGTGTGTGTGTGTGTGTGTGTGTGTGTGTGTGTGTGTGTGTGTGTGTGTGTGTGTGTGTGTGTGTGTGTGTGTGTGTGGATCTGGACACAGCGTACCGTTAGCTTTGTCCACGAAGGCGCCCTGCGGTGAGTCGGGCACGCCTCTCCACACGGAGATGGGTTTGGGGTAGCCGGGGTCCATGGTGCTCATCTCCTCGTTATAACGCCAGTACCTGCACAGGTAACAGTGATGAGAGGAGGTCACAGAGGAGGCGTAACCAGGTGATAAAAACCTTCTCTGCATTCATCAGTTGAATGATCCGGGATTCATACGGAGACTCTGACCTGCAGATCCATGTCACAGCTAATGCTTCATTTAGAATGTCACAGAACCAGTTCACCTTTAATGTCCATTTAACCTCCACCACCTCATTCAGACATTTTCATTGGCTGGAAAGTTGAAAGGTTAAAGGTGTAGCCGTTATCAGCAGCCACGTTTTACAACCTCTCTTCCTGCAGGACTCAGGACTGTGGATTAACATGTTGGTTACTTTTTACCAAGAAACAAAAGAACTGATCAATGATTTAAGTCTCCCTCTCAGACAGGCTCTGGAGGACAGGATATTATAAAGTTTTACAACGCCTAGAATAAACAACCAAGCGGAAACAGAACACTCTGCTATCTACGAACTGACCCCAAAGACATGAACTACGACCGAAACCAGTCTCTGCAAAGTCGTAAAATTGACCATCTGTTGAAGGACTGCTGAAGAGCTGAATTAAACCACAGCGTTCAATTCTGCATCAAATGAACATTCATGTCTTTCTTCATCTAGATATTTGTAATTGTCACACTGAATGTATTATAATCATCTTTTTAAACTCAAAATCTGATTTTCAGAATAGGAATAAGAGTTATATTAGTTTTAATAGGAATTTGACGTGGAGCGCTATTGCCATCTAGTGTTAGAATATCCATGAATACGTAACCTTCATAATTATACATTTAGACGTGTTATAAAGCATACTCTTTGATATTAGCTATAGGTGTTATTATATCTACTTTATTAAGATGTCTTATTAAGAATGCTGACTGTATAACATGGTTTTGTTCACCTACAGGCTGGGATTAACTGAGGATGTTCCCAGATGGTGTGATTTTCATCTCAACATGAATCTGATAGAAATGTTTGTCTAAATATATGACGTGAACCTACATCAATGTGGATCTGATAGAAATAATATCAAAATGAATGTATGGTCAGGTATACATGAGGACGAAATTATTAGCCCCCCTATGAAAATTTCATTTTTTTAAAAGTATTTCCCAAGTGCTATTAAACAGAGCAAAGAATTTTTAACACAGCTTTTTCAAACATCCTAGTTTTATTTTGGATGCTTACATTATTTTACTTTGCACACAGAGACAAAATTATTTCACAAAAAACAAAAACTACCAGGGTCAAAAATATTAGCCCCCTTAAGAACTGACCTTTTTATTGAGCCATAGCACAAACCAATGTTGTGCAATGATGTGCTTTAACTTTGTAATGCTCAAAGCTTGTAAAATCAAGTTATTTTCATTTATTTTTTCCTTTTTTTTTTCCTGTTGGATCCTCTTGGAGCTTCTGAGACGACGGCTGAACCGACACAATCTCCATCCCAGCTGCACACTCCGACCAAGTTGTTAAGGCATCTAATCTGGCCCGTGGACCTCTCTGGGCCTAAAACGAACCGCTTGCCAGAGACTGAAACGCGGGACCAGCCGGCGGAGTTCAATCAAACACATCTCACAGTAAGACTGCTGGTGGCAAGGGGTGTTGGAAGATTAAGTCTTGAGTCGTGTCTATTCAGAGCCCTCCTTTAAATCCAAATAGAATCCCAAAATGTGTTTATCACCTTTTCCTTTTTGACCATTTTCTGATTAAGTCATTCAAACAATACCGTGTCTTATCTCATTACTAAATATATAATGTCACCATACATTATAATTGCATTATCCCGATCATAATAATCATATTCTTTATCTATCTTTATCCCTTTTATATTAAATTGTACACAAAAAATTCAGGACTTTGTCTGTGTGTTTTCTTGTTTTTGATTTCCAGAACTTACTTCTTTCAAGTTATGAAACTGACTGATTAATTAATTAACTTATACCATTAAAGTTATTTTCTTCCTTTAACAGGAAGTGGTGCCCCCTTTCTTAATCTGAGGTTAAATAAAGAAATAACATCTTAACAATTTAATTACGCTACAAAGGTCAGTTTGTTTATGGCATCTGAACCTTTCCGACCAAAATCAGAAATATGGAAGAAGCTGTGACATGAGAGCCAATCAGAAACTGTTTTACCAAACTCTATTAAAAAAATGACCATTGTGCCCGAGTGTGTGTGTGTGTGCGTGTGTGTCTCACAGACGGAGCTGACACATCACGAGCACAGACGTTTAATAAATCTGGTCCTATAAAAAAATCTCTGTAGGATCCTTGGACTTACCTGTCTCCTTTAAAGAAGTAGGTCTTGGACACGTCCTCCCACCACAGGGCCGTCTCGATGCTCTGAGCTGGCATGCCGGGTCCAAACTGAGAGATGTCCTTTGGGTACCCCGACAGCAGCACGGTGTCTTTAAACACCCAGAACTGTTTCCCTGCACATCAGAGGAGGAGGATCAATGAGGAGGAGGAGGAAGAGGAGGAGGAGGAGGATCAATGAGGAGGAAGAGGAGGAGGGGGAGGAGGAGGATCAATGAGAAGGAAGAGGGGGAAGGGAAGGAGGAGGAGGAGGAGGAGGAAGAGGAGGGGAGGAGGAGGTGGAAGAGGAGGGGAGGATCAATGAGGAGGAGGAGGAGGAGGAAGAGGAGGAGGAGGATCAATAAGGAGGAAGAGGAGGAGAGAGGATGAGGAGAAGGATCAATGAGGACGAGGAGGAGGAGCAGGAGGAGGATCAATGAGGAGGAAGAGAAGGAGGGGGAGGAGCAGGAAGGGGATCAATGAGGAGGAGGAGGAAGATGAGGAGGAGGAGGAGGAGGATCCATGAGGAGGAGGAGGAGGAGAGAAGAGGAGGAGGAGGAAGAGGAAGAAGAAGAGGAGGATCAATGAGGAGGAGGAGGGGGAGGATCAATGAGGAGGAGGAGGAGGAGGGGAGAAGGAGGAGGATCAATGAGGATGAGGAGGAGGAAGAGGAGGGGAGGAGAAGGAGGATCAATGAGGAGGAGGAGGAAGAGAAGGATCAATGAGAAGGAGGATCAATGAGGAGGAAGAGGAGGAGGAGGAAGAGGAAGCGGCTCCTTCCTCTGAGACAACAACAACCTATCTAAGACATCAGCATGCTCCAGGTTAAACACAACATCTTTTACACGTGGAGTCTGTGCTTCTTGTTCAGTTCTAAGGTTAAACATTTCTGACACAATGACCTCAGGAAGGGTTTGTCCTCATCACAAGGAAGATGAAGGGTGGAGCAGGAGGAAGAGGGTGGAGGAGCAGAGAACAAAGAGGAGGAGGAATAGGAGAGAGAGGAGGAGTCTTCTGGCTGGATGTGAGCGGCCTCTCTCTGGAGAGGAAATGCCTGTCATTTCATTTACAGAGCTGCTTCATTTACACACACACACACACACACACACACACACACACACACACACACACACACACACACACACACACACACACACACACACACACACACACACACACACACACACACACACACACACACCACACACACACACACACACACACACAACACACACACACACACACACACACACACACACACACACACACACACACACACACACACACACACACACACACACACACACACACACACACACACACACACACACACACACACAGAGAGAGTTGGGAGGAGGGGGGGAGAACACAACCTCACCTTTGAAGAAGACAAACTTTCCCTCGCTGTTCTCGTAGGCGGCGTCGATCTTCGGGGGCAGACCTCTCCAGAACACGTTTATGAGCATCGGGTACCCTGGCATCACGGAGTTATCTCTCACCCTCCAGAACCAGTGATCCTAAGAAAGAGACGGGACAGGACAACGTGAGAGAACTCCTCTCCTCTCCTCTCCTCTCCTCTCCTCTCCTCTCCTCTCCTCTCCTCTCCTCTCTCTCCTCTCTCTCCTCTCCTCTCTCCTCCTCTCCCCTCCTCTCTCCTCTCCCCTCTCCCTGCAGATTTTTCTGTTCCAGGGTTCTCCTTTGGACAAGGCTCTGCTCAGTAAATGAAAACAGACCAAACAGTGAAATCTGACCGTTTTCAATCCGTCTGACTTTAAGAAAAGAAAAAGTTCTTGGTCCACTCCTTCTTTGAAAATAAAGCTTTGAGCAGACTGAACTCAAACAAAACTTGAGCTGTAATCACAAAAACTTACAGAACAATCACAACAAGTGTCGACTCAGCAGGAGTTCAAACTATCGTATGTTTAAACTGACAATAAAGAAATAATACACGTTAACAGAGGCGTAGAGTTTCCACAGAGGGAGGAAAAAACTCTTTATAGAGGCATACAGTATACCCCCAGAGCACAGCCATGAGAAGAGACGATAAAAGACCAAAATCCAGAAGAGACTGGCAATGAGTCAAAACCAGACAACAGGGGTTCAGAACAACTAAGGCTGCATTCACACCTGAGCTGTGTAGTCCGTTTAAATCAAACTCTGGTCTCCTTATCCAATAGTTTGTTTTGGTTTGGGGAGGTGTGAACGCGAGGTGATGGAGGTCAGACGACAGAGGGGGTAGAGGTCAGAGGTGATTGAGGTCAGACGACAGAGGGGGTGGAGGTCAGAGGTGATGGAGGTCAAACATCAAAGGGGATGGAGGTCAGAGGTGATGGAGGTCAGACATCAAACAGGATGGAGGTCAGAGGTGATGGAGGTCAAACATCAAAGGGGATGGAGGTCAGAGGTGATGGAGGTCGAGGTGATGGAGATCAGAGGGCAGAGGTGATGGAGGTCAGACATCAAAGGGGATGAAGTCAGACGTCAGAGGTGATGGAGGTCAGATGTCAGAGGTGATGGAGGTCAGATGTCAGAGGTGATGGAGGCAGATGTCAGAGCCATCGTATGCAGCAGTAGTTAGCCAGCCACCTGTAGCCGGTGCGGGCCAACATAGCTTGGCTTCCCCCCGGTAGCTCCCGAGCAGCCGGGAGGCAGTGGCTGGGTTACTGTCCAAGGGAAGCATAGTCGAAAATCGAAGCACACGGTTCCCCACCAACCACTTCACGTTTCAAACAAATTTTCCCCACTCAGTGACACACCTGCTGAGAATAAAACTCTGATAACTGGAGACTGCATAGTTCAAAACGTGAAGCTAGCGAAGTCAGCGGGCATAGTTAGGTATATACCCGGGGCCAGAGCGGGCGACATCGCATCTCATTTAAAGTTGCTGACAAAGACTAAAGGTAGATTTGATACAATCGTAATTCATGTCGGCACTAATGACTCCCGACTACACCAGTCGGAAGTCACTCAGGTTAATGGTGAGTCGGTGTGTACTTTTGCTAAGACGATGTCAGACTCCGTAGGACCCCTCCCAAATCAGACCAGTGATGACATGTATAGCCGCATGTCATCACTCAACCGCTCGCTGTCGAGGTGGTGTCCAGCACATGATGTGGGCTTCATAGATAACTGGCAGTCTGCGAGCTAGAGACGGCATCCATCCCACTTTGGACGGTGCAGCTTTATTATCTAGAAACATAGCAAAGGTTATTAGTCCAAAACCTTGACAACAAGACAGAGTTCAGACCAGGAGGCAGAGCTGCAGTCTTACACGCTTCTCTGCGCCTCCCTTAGATCTGTCTCCCAGTCACTATAGCTGTAATTCTGAATCGAACTGTAGTTATACTATAGGTACTGTGTCTGTCCCCCGGCCCAGACCCGTTTTTATAAGTCATCCAAACGGCGTAAATCGTCAAAATCTCATCAGAATTAAGACTACGAATACGATTTTGCTAAAAAACCAGAAGATTCACTGCAGACTTTTGAACATTAGGTCCTTAGCATCCAAATCTCTTTTAGTGAATGATCTGATATCAGATCAGCATACTGATTTACTTTTTTTGACTGAAACCTGGCTGTGTCAAGATGAATATGTTAGTTTGAATGAATCCACTCCTCCCAGTCATTTTTGTACTCATATACCTCGAGAAAACGGACGAGGTGGTGGAGTAGCAGCTATTTTTAATTCTGGACTTCCAGTTAACCCTCGACCAAAGCTGAATTTTTCTTCTTTTGAAAGCCTTGTTCTTAGTTTTTCACATCCAGTCTCAAGAACCTTTCAGCCAGTTCTAGTTGTTGTAGTTTACCGTCCTCCTGGCCCAAATTCTGAGTTTCTATCTGAATTTGCAGAATTTTAATCAGATTTAGTCCTTAGCAGTGATAGAATAATTGTTGTAGGTGACTTCAATATCCATGTGGATGTTGATAATGATAGCCTGAGCACAGCTTTCATGTCACTATTAGACTCTATTGGTTTCACCCAGGGTGTAAATGAACCTACTCATCATTTCAACCACACCCTGAATCTTGTTTTAGCTTATGGCATTGAAATCCATAACCTTACAGTTTTCCTAGAAAATCCTCTTCTATCAGACCATTTTTTTATTACATTCGACTTTGTCCTACCAGAATTACCTCTGCTTGGAAGAGGTGTGCTCTCTAGAAGTTTGTCGGATAGTGTTGTGGATAGATTTAAGGAAGCTATTTCAGCTGTTTTTGATTCAGTACTGTGTTTCAACCCAGTTGGAAACTCTTATAATAGCTTTAGTCCCTCTCAGCTAGATCAGTTTGTTGATAGTGCAGTGGATTTGCTGAGAGTTACTCTGGATTCGATTGCTCCCCTGGAACAGAGAGTTGTCAAGCGGCGGAGAGTGGCTCCATGGTTCAACTCAGAAACCCGTACTCTAAAACAATCGTCGTGGAATTTTGAAATAATATGGCGCTCGAACAAAACCGTAGAATCTCGTTTTTTCTGGCAGGATAGTCATAGAAGATATATGAAGGCTCTACGTCACGCTCGAGCTGCCTACTACTCCTCTCTAATCGAGGAAAACAAAGGCAATCCTAGATACCTTTTCAGCACTGTAGCCAGGCTGACAGAGAGTCATGGCTCCATTGAGCCTTGTATTCCTCTAGCCCTCAGCAGTAATGACTTCCTGAGCTTTTTCAACAACAAAATTCTAGACATCAGAGACAAAATTGGTAACCTCCTGCCCTTACCTGGTGCGGATACATCTGATACAGCAGAGACAGTTCCAGGACCAGATATTAGTCTTGACTGTTTTTCTCCAATCGACCTTTCAGAGCTATATTCCATTTTTTCTGCGTCAAAACCGTCAACCTGTCTTTTGGACCCAATCCCAACCAAGCTGTTTAAGGAAGTTTTTCCCTTAGTTAGCAACTCTATATTAGTTATGATCAATTCATCTTTACTGGCAGGCTATGTACCCCAGGTATTTAAAGTAGCGGTAATCAAACCTCTACTTAAAAAGCCTACTCTGGATTCAGGAACTCTGGCTAACTACAGGCCTATATCCAACCTTCATTTTTTCTCGAAGATCCTGGAGAAGGTGGTAGCTAAACAGCTGTGTGACTTTCTCCATGACAGCAGTTTATTTGAGGTGTTTCAGTCAGGATTTAGAGTCCACCATAGCACTGAGACTGCACTAGTTAGAGTTACAAACGATCTACTTCTAGCTTCAGACAGGGGACTTCTCTCTGTGCTCGTCTTGTTAGATCTTAGTGCTGCCTCTGACACCATTGACCATCGGATCCTGTTGTACAGACTGGAGCATTTGCTTGGAATTACAGGGACTGCTTTAAGTTGGTTTGAATCCTACTTATCAGACCGATCTCAGTTTGTACATGTTAATGATGAGTCCTCTATGCACACCAAAGTTTGCCATGGAGTCCCACAAGGTTCAGTGCTTGGACCAATTCTCTTTACATTATATATGCTTCCTCTGGGAAATATTATGAGGAAACACTCCATACAGTTTCATTGTTATGCAGATGATACTCAGCTGTATGTATCAATGAAGCCCGATGGCACCAGTCAGTTATGTCAGCTAGAAACGTGCCTTAAGGATGTTAGGACCTGGATGACCAGAATTTTTTTGCTACTTAACTCAGACAAGACTGAAGTTATTGTGCTAGGCCCTAACAACCTCAGAGAGACTTTTTCTAGTGATTTGACTGTCCTTAGTGACATCAGACTGACATCTAGCACCACTGTTAGGAATCTAGGAGTTCTTTTTGATCAAGATATGTCTTTTAGCTCTCACATCAGTCAAGTTTCAAGAACAGCCTATTTTCACCTTCGTAATATATCCAAGATCAGGAATATCCTGTCGCAAAATGATGCAGAAAAACTAGTTCATGCATCTGTTACCTCCAGACTGGATTATTGTAACTCTCTTTTGTCAGGGTGCTCTGGCAAGTCTCTAAAGACTCTTCAACTGGTCCAGAATGCTGCAGCTCGTGTACTGACCAGAACCAGGAAATGGGACCACATCACTCCTGTCCTGGCTTCTCTGCACTGGCTCCCTATACAGTCTAGAATAGAATTCAAGATCCTTTATCTCACCTACAAAGCGCTAAATGGCCAGGCACCATCCTATCTTAAGGAGCTACTAGTGCCGTACTGTCCCTCGAAAGTGTTGCGGTCCCGGAGTGCAGGCCTGCTGGTGGTACCTACAGTCTCTAAGTGTACTATGGGGGGTAAAGCCTTCAGTTATCGGGCTCCTCTCCTCTGGAACCGCCTTCCAGCCGGGGTCCGGGAGGCAGACACAGTCTTTATTTTTAAGAATAGACTTAAGACTTTCCTTTTTGATAAATCTTATAGTTAGTGCTGGTGTAGACCAGGTCTTAGTTATGCTGCTATAGGCTTAGACTACCGGGGGAACTGGCACCTCTCTCTCTCTCTGTGCATATACAGTACATCATATTACTGCATGTATCTATCTGTAAATCTCAGTCACTAACCACCTACTTTCCTGAGAGCTCTTGAGCTCTCTTAGGCTCCTCAAGATCGTTGGTTGACGGCCTGCCAGAACAACCCCATCCCCACCCCCACCGGATTGTTGGTTGACGGCCTGCCAGAACACTGCTTTTTGTAAAGTGTCTTGAGATAACACTTGTTATGAGTTGACGCTATACAAATAAAATTGAATTGACTTGAAAATTGAATGTCAGAGGTGATGGAGGTCAGATGTCAGAGGTGATGGAGGTCAGAGGTGATGGAGGTCAGAGGTGATGGAGGTCAGTGAACTGGGTACAGGGAACGCTCTGTCTGAGATAAACACTGATCTATGAATCTATATGCTGAGAGTCTGTGTGTTCTCAGTTGAACTCTGACCTGTGATCACAGAGTGACACACCGTCAGAGACCTCCACCTGACCCTGAAGGATCCTGACCAGGTTTTTAAAAAGCATCTCATACATCAGAGTACACAGCCTCTGTGTAACTACACACTGCTGACCTCTGACCTCCTGTATATGTGAATGAACATAAAGGAGAACAGCTCCTGTTTCACAGTTTTTCCTGAGTGTGACTTTGCTGTACACTGAGCTGTTGTTTTAAGTCATTAAGGTGAAACGTGAGGATGAATCTGAGGTTTAAAGTCTCAAACAGGTTCTGAACGAGAATGGAGGAGGGACAAGGATGTCTACAGATCACACGGAGCTGAATGACGAGACGTCGGCTGGCAGGGTTCAATCTCCAGGGAGGATTACAGGTGACCGTTACAATATCCAACGTGAGACTATCACAACTTTATCCCACCAACAGAAAGATTTACTGATATATTCTGTCTTTATCACTATGATTTATTATGTCCTTTAGAGACCAACAGGTTCGCCTCTCGTGAATCTGAACGGAGCTAAAATGCTGACAGATGTTTGCTCTTGGTGTTGTTCAAGTCTGATACGTAATAAGAACATGCTGTCTGATTCCCAGTCACAGAGAAATATGTGTTACAGTATAAACCCTCCCTCTGTGAACCCCCTCCTCTTTCTCTCTCTCTCTCTCTCTCTAGACCACCTGTGGGCCTCAGGGCTGCTCAAATCTCACTTAATGACTTGGCATTGCCTCGATTCCAGTCTCCCAAAACAATCAGGAGAAGACAGAGAGAAGCCTAACTGAGAGGAGGAAAAACTGATGTGCAGCAGGAAGCACACTAAGAGAAAAACTCTCCACAAACTGACCTGAAACAGACACACTGCAAGTCTTTGTTTTAACTTGCATTCAGGCGAATGTGGAGAGCCAGCAGTCAGGCTAACATACGATACAGTCTTTATGATACAATTTATTGTCCCCTTGAGGATAATTGTCTTGGGCTCAAAGTGCTGCCAAACATTCAACTGCTTCAACTAGAATCAATAAATGAATAGAAAAACACATCCACATGTTAACAGAAAGGCACATAGCAATGCAAAACAAGACAACATAAAACCCATAAAACAACTCAGACAGGCAGAAAGCAGCAGCACGTGAGTCGGGGTCGCAAGCGTCAGGCTAACATGGTGAGCTAACATGGAGACCCAGCAGTCAGGCAAACATGGAGATACAGCAGTCGGGCCAACATGGAGAGCTAACATAGAGAGCAAACAGTAAGGCTAACATGGAGAGCTAACATGAAGACCCAGCAGTCAGGCTAACATCAAGAGCCAGCAGTCAGGATAACATGAAGAGCTAGCATGAAGACCCAGCAGTCAGGCTAACATGATGAAATAACATGAAGAAGAAGAACCAGCAGTCAGGCTAATATGGAGAGCTAACATGTAGAGCTAACATAGAGAGCCAACAGTAAGGCTAACATGAAGACCCAGCAGTCAGGCTAACATGGAGAGCTAACATGAAGACCCAGCAGTCAGGCTAATATGGAGAGCTAAAATGTAGAGCTAACATAGAGAGCCAACAGTAAGGCTAACATGAAGACCCAGCAGTCAGGCTAACATGGAGAGCTAACATGTAGAGCTAACTGTAAGGCTAACATGAAGGACCAGCAGTCAGGCTAACCCTGAGACACAGTGGCCAGGCTAACATGGAGACCCAGCAGTCAGGCTAACATGGAGAATCAGCGGTCAGGCTAACATGGAGACCCAGCGGACTAGCTAACCCCAAGACCCAGCGGACAGGCTAACATGGAGACCCAGCAGTCAGGCTAACATGGAGACCCACCAGTCAGGCCAACATTGAGAGCTAACATGTATAACAAGCAAGGAAAGCTAACATGGAGACCCAGCAGTCAGGCTAACATGGAGAGCTAGCATGTATAGCTAGCATGGAGAGCAAACATGGAGAGCTAACATGTAGACCCAGCAATCAGGCTAACATGTAGACTCAGCAGTCAGGCTAACATGAAGAACTAACAGGAAGAACCAACAGTCAGGCTAACATGAAGATCTAACATGAAGACCCAGCAGTGTCTTGTTTTTGTCATCTTTCTGAACATAAATCCTCATGTATGCATTTGTGCAATTTAGACAGTGTGCAGGAGGTTGTCTGCAGTTTTCAAGAATAACAAAAATAAATTACGAAATATATGATGTGTAAGACTTTTATGTTTGATAGCGTGGGAACAAACAGGTATGAACATTGTTTGATTTTTACAAGAATCAAATCACAGTTTACATTCTGGTAATGAGGTAACCGTAGTTCAGTGGGTTCAGAGAGGATGGGGTTTCCCTGCTGGATCCACAGTCCACTTATTTAACGGTGAATACATTCTATTTATATCGAAACACAGAAACGCTCTCGCTCTCTCTCTCTCCCCCTCCACTGTGAGAGGATAACACGTAGAGAGAGAAAACCCTGCTCTGACTCGAACACCATTTAGTGCAGATCCCTGTCTGACAGTCCCTCAGTGACCTGACTCAGCTCCTCCTACACTCCACAGCTCTTTAACTGGAGACACTGTAACACAGCTTCACTGTAACAGAGGGACAGACTTCACTGAAACACAGCTTCACTGTAACAGAGGGACAGACTTCACTGTAACACACCTTCACTGTAACAGAGGGACAGACTTCACTGTAACAGAGGGACAGACTTCACTGTTACACAGCTTCACTGTAACAGAGGGACAGACTTCACTGTAACACACCTTCACTGTAACAGAGGGACAGACTTCACTGTAACACAGCTTCACTGTAACAGAGGGACAGACTTCACTGTAACAGAGGGACAGACTTCACTGTAACAGAGGGACAGGCTTCACTGTAACATAGCTTCACAGTAACACAGCTTCACTGTAACAGAGGGACAGACTTCACTGTAACAGACTTCACTGTAACACATCTTCACTGTAACAGAGGGACAGACGTCACTGTAACACATCTTCACTGTAACAGAGGGACAGACTTCACTGTAACACAGCTTCACTGTAACAGAGGGACAGACTTCACTGTAACACAGCTTCACTGTAACAGAGGGACAGGCTTCACTGTAACACAGCTTCACTGTAAAAGAGGGACAGACTTCACTGTAACACAGCTTCACAGTAACACAGCTTCACTGTAACAGAGGGACAGACTTCACTGTAACAGACTTCACTGTAACACATCTTCACTGTAACAGAGGGACAGACTTCACTGTAACACAGCTTCACTGTAACAGAGGGACAGACTTCACTGTAACACAGCTTCACTGTAACAGAGGGACAGGCATCACTGTAACACAGCTTCACTGTAAAAGAGGGACAGACTTCACTGTAACACATCTTCACTGTAACAGAGGGACAGACTTCACTGTAACACAGCTTCACTGTAACAGAGGGACAGGCTTCACTGTAACACAGCTTCACTGTAAAAGAGGGACAGACTTCACTGTAACAGACTTCACTGTAACACATCTTCACTGTAACAGAGGGACAGACTTCACTGTAACACATCTTCACTGTAACAGAGGGACAGACTTCACTGTAACACAGCTTCACTGTAACAGAGGGACAGACTTCACTTTAACACAAACCACGAAGATCGTTGGTATGACATTAAAGTGAGACGTTCTCACAGCACCTACACACTGAACAAGGAGCATATAAATACCATAGTATGTTTATATACTGTATACATTTATATATTTGTCTAAAGGTATAAAGTTTGTTAACACAGACTCACCTTGAAGACGAACATCTCCCTCCTCAGGATGGCGAGTGTGTTGAAGCCCCCCTCACAGATGTTGGGTTTGGCGTTGGGGTGGGACGGTCTGTCTCCTGGGGGCAGCCGGGGGGGTCTCGTCTGTCTGTCTGGTTTACGGGGGTCTGAGGGGGGGAGGGAGCGAGGAGGAGGGGCTGTGGGCAGAGGTTTGGTGGGTTGTGGGAGTTTATCAGGAGGACCTGCAGGAGAACACAGAAGTGAACGTGGTTAATACTGAAACCTGATGTCACCATGATCTCCATCGCCATCATGGTGACATCACTGAGGGATAGCTCTGACATCATCACTGAGGGATAGCTCTGACATCATCACTGAGGGAGAGCTCTGACATCATCACTGAGGGAGAGCTCTGACATCATCACTGAGGGAGAGCTCTGACATCATCACTGAGGGAGAGCTCTGACTTCATCACTGAGGGAGAGCTCTGACATCATCACTGAGGGAGAGCTCTGACATCATCACTGAGGGAGAGCTCTGACATCATCACTGAGGGAGAGCTCTGACATCATCACTGAGGGAGAGCTCTGACATCATCACTGAGGGAGAGCTCTGACATCATCACTGAGGGAGAGCTCTGACATCATCACTGAGGGAGAGCTCTGACATCATCACTGAGGGAGAGCTCTGACATCATCACTGAGGGACTCTGACATCATCACACTCTGACACACACACACACACACACTCTGACACACACACACACACACACACACACACACACACACACACACACACACACACACACACACACACACACACACACACACACACACACACACACACACACACACACACACACACACACACACACACACACACACACACACACACACACACACACACACACACACACACACACACACACACACACACACACACACACACACACACACACACACACACACACAGCTCACCATAGATCTTCTGGATCCCCAGCAGATCGTCCATGGGCAGTCTGAAGTTCTCCGTGTCCATGTACTGATAGAACGGAGCCATGATGGCTGTCGGGTCGTTCGAGTGTTCCAGTCCCAGAGCGTGTCCGAGCTCGTGGACCGCCACCAGGAACAGGTCGTTACCTACAGACAGTTAGAGAGAGAGAGATGTGTGTCAGGGCGAATGAAACGAGTCTGTCTGTCTGTCTCTCTCTCTCCCTAAGGCCAGTGCTGTTGTTTGGTAGTTTATTGTCTGATGTTTGTCTCTCTGTGGTAAACCAGGACGTCCTTCTGGACGTGCGACCACAAACACTGAGCCAGTTTGTACGCTTGACTGATGATCAGCTGAAAGATATACAGAGACAATATGAGGAGGAGGAGGAGGAGGAGGAGGCGATGATGCAGAAAGTCAAGAATGAGAGAAAGAAAGAGAGGTAACATGAGGGGAAAGTTTACACCGGGTAAGGAGGAGGAGGGAGACGAGGTGAGAGGAAACAGATTGGGAGGGAGAAACAGAGGAGGAGGAGGTGAAGATTGAAGAGGAGGAGATAATTTGAAGGTGAGGAAAGATGGGAGGGGAGACGAGGAAAAGGTGGGAGACGAGGAAACAATACAACTCAGACTGCAGGCCATACACACTAAGCAGCAGACGTCTGCAGGCCGTAAACGCTAAGCAGCAGACGTCTGCAGGCCGTACACGCTGAACTGCTGCTGACGTCTGCAGGTCGTACACGCTAAGCAGCAGACGTCTGCAGGCCGTAAACGCTGAACTGCTGCTGACATCTGCAGGCCGTACACGCTAAGCAGCAGACGTCTGCAGGCCGTACACGCTGAACTGCTGCTGACGTCTGCAGGTCGTACACACTAAGCAGCAGACGTCTGCAGGCCGTAAACGCTAAGCAGCAGACGTCTGCAGGCCGTACACGCTGAACTGCTGCTGACGTCTGCAGGTCGTACACGCTAAGCAGCAGACGTCTGCAAGCCATACACGCTGAATGTCTGTAGGCCGTACACGCTAAATGCGGAACTGCTGCTGACGTCTGCAGGCCATACACGCTGAGCAGCATACACGCTAAGCAGAAGACATCTGCAGGCCGTGCACGCTGAACTGTAGACGTCTGCAAGCCTTGTACGCTAAGCAGCAGACGTCTGCAGGCCATACACGCTGAGCAGCAGACGTGTGCAGGCCGTACATGCTAAGCAGCAGACACGCTAAGCAGAAGACGTCTGCAGGCTGTGCACGGTGAACTGCAGACCTGTGCGAGCCATACACGCTAAGCAGCAGACGTCTGCAGGCTGCTTTAACAGCCCTCACATTTTTATAATCCCTCTCTATGTTTTATGAAGGATCAATGTTTTCTGTCTGTCTGTCCACAAGATGTCAACGTGAACAAAATAAAGTCTGAAAAGTGAACAACAAACATCTGACTGCACAGAGGCACACGTTGTTTAAGTGACCCACGCTCTGTAGGAACACAGCTCTCACTGTTAGCCGTTAGCTTGTTTTTGTTTTCCACTCTGAGTCTGAGCCAACATGAATCACTCCGTTGTTCTCCATGCTTCAGCTCTGTGAGAGTAGGAGCTGAACCTGAACCTCTCACAGAAACACTGGTGAGCAGTGAGGAAATACTTAAGAGATGTGAACTGTTAGGATAACATTCCTGAAATATCTGTCAAAGTGTTTGTGAAGTCTTAGACTCAGGTGACCTTCAAAACATGAGCGATCACTACAGAACGTCTTCTAAGCACGCTGCCTGTGTGTAGATTTATACTGAAGAGGAACTTTGACTGTTTTCATGATGTTTAAAGCACATCTCATTATTTCAGAGTTTGTATAATTCTGCCTCTAAAACATGGTTCTCTGAATGAAAGCGTCTCATTAGATATTAATTTCAAATCTTCAAATTAAAAAGAGAGCAGGGTTTTTACTTAAGCACTTATGGACCTCCATAACAGAAATTGATATAAAAATACAGCAAAGCAATCTTCTATTATAAAACAAACATTAAATTCAAACATGTTCATAATCCTCCAGACGACTTTCTGTTTTCATTAACGCCTCTGAAGACAGGTGAGGCCACGCCTCCACCAGAACAATCTTTTAAAAACCTCTGTAAAGAGCTCTGTGTTCAGACAACGTTTTATTAACAAACTCTGTGCACATCCACAGAAACAAACACTCTGTAGTACACAAGCCATACCAGTAGTTGGCGCTATGTCTTTGTAATGAAACAAAACGCCCATGCTCACATCCTCTTTCCTCTACAGAGCGGCGAGGTGTAAACATATGACTAACACATGAACGTGTGGACGGACGATGACGTGGTTGTTACTCCGTGTGACCTTGAACTACAAAGAGAGAACATTTAGAAGAAACGTCAACTGAGAGACATGACAGACGACATTTACACAAACAGAACGCAGGAGTCGGCCATTGTTGTTGTAGTCCATCTACTCACTCACAGCTAGGACTGGAGGCGTACTGAGCATGTGCGTAAAGTCTCTGTTTTCAGAGTAGGGGGCGTTTGTCCAGTTTACTGGGCGAGGTAGATGCTTGGATGACTCTCTGCTCTGTTAGTCAGGATCTGTGTTTGATTGTGTCTGTCTGTAACGTTGATAACGCGGCGGACTCTGTTCTTCAACAGGTTCTCAACCTCAGTCACATTCTTTTTGGTCAAATAAAATCAATCAATTAGCATTGTTAGCCTCAGTGCTAAAGTCCACACACACACACACACACACACACACACACACACACACACACACACACACACACACACACACAAGAACAGAGAGATGATCTAGTTTTTACACACACACTCTTCAGTGAACACACACTCATGATCTGTTTACTCTGTGAGCTGAGGATTATGGGTACGAGGTAATGAGACCATCTGACTGACTGGTGGGAGGCCAGAGTCCCCCCAGGTGCACTCTGTGTGTATGTGTGTTCTTTGGAGTGTGTGTGTGAGTGTGCTTCAAAATGTACGTGTTTGTATGTATGTATGCTTCAGAGTGTGTGTGTGGGCGGAAGAGAATGCTGCGCCCACGTGGAGGTGGATGCTGCTGTCAGCTGGCGGTGGTTTATTTGTGGAGTCAGCCTGGTGAGCAGAACAACGCTGATACCTCAGTGCTCCCTCTCTTTCTCTATTTGTCCCCCTCTCATTCTGACTCTGACTCTCTCATTCTGATTCTCTGATTCGGACTCTCTGATTCGGACTCTCTGACTCTGATTCTCTGACTCTGATTCTCTGACTCTGATTCTGACTCTCTCATTCTCTGACTCTCTGATTCTCTCATTCTGACTCTCTGGTTCTGACTCTCGCTCTAATAAGAATTAGTCACTGATCTCCTTGATCCGGCTGCAGCTGAAAAGTGTGCTGTGTTTTACAACTTGTTGTGGTATGATACCTGCACGTGCCCATTTTATCTCTGATTGCTCGACCACAGCTGAAGTGAATAAATTGAAGTCGCCTTTGACCTTCGGTTGACTTTAGATAAGCACAAAAAATAAATATTTCCTACATAAACCATCTTTTTCTGACAGAACAATCAAATGAATGCCAGTTACATTTTGAATTCATTTTAATGCGTTCTGAAAAAATTAACAAAATATGAAGTCCAGTAAAGCATGATGGGATATGTGGGCCATACCACCCCCCGCTACAAGGACCAATCACAGATGAGCAGCGGAGGTTCTGAGTGGTGTGTTCATGTTGTAAAGAAGAACACATTCCTGCTTAATGAAGTGAATACACTGTCAGTCCCGTCGCCAAAGTCACTCTTATATAACCGTGCTGCTCACGCTTATCAAACAGACATCAGTGAAAAAGGAGGGAGCTAATATCCAGCCGGCTAGTGTCTGGAGCTGAAGAAAGGTATGGTTAGTGTTCTCTATGACGCTCAGGTACTGATGTCACACTGTTTAACTGTTTTTGATGTTTTTATTGTCAGATGGCTGAGGGGGGGAGATGTAAGGTGCAGGAGCTTTTTTGATACTTTTCATTGAAGTTAAATATTTATTCTTAAATAGTTTGTTAGAGTGTTTCAGTGCACTGTGTCCAATGAAGGCTTTAAGGTTTAACTCAGAGAGTGTTTATCTATTCATCTCTAAAGATGGAGGATAGATCATCACAGCCTGCTCTGACTCTACTCTCCTCCCTGATTGATTCTCACAGCTGATCGTCCATCATTGTTTTTGGTCAAATAAAATCAATCAATTAGCATTGTTAGCCTCAGTGCTAAAGTCCACACACACACACACACACACACACACACACACACACACACACACACACACACACACACACACACACACACACACACACACACACACACACGTAGCCCCGCCCCTCACATGTGGCCCTGCTTATTAGATGTAGCCTCGCCCGTGTTGTACTTTGTGATACAATGTCTTTATGATGGCGTGCGCTGCAGTCAGAACAATAAACACGTTTAAATTATTCTCATAAAAAAGAAAAGAAGCGCTGCTCACCGTCATGGTTCGGGTTTCCGAGTGTCCACGGCTCGTCTGAGTCAAAGTGTGTGTCTCCTCCAATCCCTGGTCCTGGGAAGTAGGCGTGGGCCAGGAAGCCTCCCTCGCCATCAAACGGCGAGCTGTCACCATGGAAACCTGAGGCGAATATGATGGTTATGTCCACGTCTTTTTTTGTCCTCTCCAGCTCGCTGTACGGCAACGCCTCGAAACGCAGCGGTGTCACATTCTGCCAAACGTCAAATGCTCGTCTGATGGCGTCGTGTGTCTCCTCCGCCCCGACTTTAGGCGTCACATTTTTTATGCTGCAGAGAGACAGAGGGGGAGGAGTCAGATGTTATTTATACTGCAGAGAGACAGAGGGGGAGGAGTCAGATGTTATTTATACTGCAGAGAGACAGAGGGGGAGGAGTCAGATGTTATGCTGCAGAAAGACATAGGGGGAGGAGTCAGATGTTATTTATGCTGCAGAGAGACAGAGGTCACATGTTATTTATGCTGCATCACATAGGGGGAGGAGTCAGATGTTATTTATACTGCAGAGAGACAGAGGGGGAGGAGTCAGATGTTATCCTGCAGAAAGACATAGGGGAGGAGTCAGATGTTATTTATGCTGCAGAGAGACAGAGGTCACATGTTATTTATGCTGCATCACATAGGGGGAGGAGTCAGATGTTATTTATACTGCAGAGAGACAGAGGGGGAGGAGTCAGATGTTATTTATGCTGCAGAGAGACAGAGGGGACAATCTAACTCGTCTGGTGTCTTTAGCTGCAGCAGACAGTCACGTGTTTGAGCAGATTCAGACCTGATGTGAGCTCATAAACAAACAGAGAGTGAAGAAGACGAGGAGTTCATTCAGGCAGAAATGATTCTAAACACTTTCATGAACATTCATAAAATATGAGTGCTATTTTTGAACAGCATTTTTATATGAATGAGCCAAGATGTGAAGAAAAGACCCAAACAGAGGTGATTTACACCATCCAACACACACTCATCTTTCCTACTCTTTCCTCCTCGTCTCTCCTCCTCACTCCTCTTAGCTCCTCCTCTCTCCCCTCCTCCTCTCGTCTGTCTCCTCTCTCCTTCCTCCTCGTCTCTCCCCTCCCTTCTCTCAGCTCCTCCTCTCTCCTCCTCCACCTCCTCTCTCCTCCTCCTCTCGTCTATCTCCTCTCTCTTCCTACTCTCTCCTCCTCCTCCTCCTCCTCCTCTCTCCTCCTCCTCTTGTACAGACGTTGTGATTGTTATTGTGCGGCTAAAAAAGCCAACATGTCTGGAATGTTTTTGTGATACAACAGACTCACCTGTATGTGATGTGTTTGTGCTGCCACCTTTGTCCAGTCAGAGCGTACCGTCGTTTCCTCACGTTGAACCTCGACGATCCTCCTATCAGGTCAGGGACTCCACACCTGGGCCTCTTCATCCACCTGAGGGGCGGAGCCGAGGAGGACACAGGTGAGCTTGTATTAGCAGCATTCATAAAGTGATGAAGAACAATGAATGTGTAGTCTTCATGGACAGAGTTCTCTGCTCACAGATTGGTCATTAACGAGTGTGTCTGATTGGTTAACAAGGACAGAACGTTTTATAAACTGTTGAAGAAGAACTTTCTCTCTTCAGCCCTGTGGACGGGCAAGGACATTCATCATTGTTAAACGTGGAAGCTGACTGTGTTCCTGAGGAGCCGAATGCTGAGATCATATAATTTACTACAGACAGATTCATAATGAGAGTCAGGAGGACTGCTGCTCTGGTCTCAGGTACCTGACTTAAAGAGTACAGACTTTGTGACACCTGAACGCTCTACAGGTAGGGTTCCGTGAACATGTGTCTCCTAGTGTAAAATCAAAGTCATTCACAGACAGACAGCTGCCTTACCTTATCGTGTTGTCACTGCGTCACAGCGCAGCAGAGGGGACAGAGAGACAGACAGGTGTTACTGACACCTGTGATCATCACACAGACAGCAGAGACATCAGGCTGTGTGTAGATCTGAGGTGTCAGTGTGACAGGTAACAGGTAAGAGAGAAAACAGGTAACAAGAAATAGAGAGAACAGGTACAGGTAACATAGAGAGAACAGGTACAGAGTACCTCTACAGAGTTACCTATAGAAGTGTGTTATGACTCTGTGTTACCTGTAGAGGTGTATTGTGACTCTGTGTTACCTGTAGAGGTGTGTCGTGACTCTGTGTTACCTGTACAGGTGTGTTATGACTCTGTTACCTGTACAGGTGTGTTATGACTCTGTTACATGTAGAGGTGTATTGTGACTCTGTGTTACCTGTACAGGTGTGTCATGACTCTGTGTTACCTGTAGAGGTGTGTTATGACTATGTGTTACCTGTACAGGTGTATTATGACTCTGTGTCACCTGTACAGGTGTGTTATGACTCTGTTACCTGTAGAGGTTTAATGTGACTGTGTGTTAGCTGTAGAGGTGTGTTATGACTCTGTGTTACCTATACAGGTGTATTGTGACTCTGTGTTACCTGAACAGGTGTGTTGTGACTCACTCTATTGTGTTCCTGTCCAGGTGCCCTGTCACATTGAGGCCGTAGCGGCGCTGCATGGCAGCGATAGCAGACTGCATGACCTGAGCAGAACGCAGCACAGACATCCGAGGGTCTGCAGAAGGCAGGTAACCGTACCTCTGCAGCCACGCCTGGAGGGACATAGGAAGGGAGGAGGAGGCAACACGTGAGATAATACAGGTGAGAGGGGATAATGTCTGGAAAAAAAGGTAATACACAAAGAGACATGTTTACAGTTGAGATGCAGCGGTCAGATCCTGACCGACTCAAATAGCTAGCTCAGGTATCTGTGCATGAGGAATTGATCTATGCAGTTTAGTTCTATGTCATTGTGTGTTTACATCACGCACCTGCGTAGACTAAGTAACTGTCAGCAGAGTGCTGGTAGGCCTGGAGGAACCAATGTAGCATGGAGGGGGCTAACAACAAAGGCTAAGCAGTTTGGAATTATTTTTAAACCAACAATTTCCTGTAATATCTGCAATGCTCATGTTTACAAACAAAGTAGTTAACTTTGTCCACTGCATTGCAAAGACACAAGAAACTTCCCAGTTATGGTTTGAAGAGACCAAACACTTTCGACCAGGTACAGAGCTCAACCTGGACGTCTACAAAAACATATCATGACATTTATCAGCAGTGTTAAAATCCCTGTAAAGTAAAATCAGCAATACCTCTTCAAGCACGCTACATATGTTGCAAGAAGACAGCTTTAAACATGTGCAAAGAGTGAGAAATATGTTTGAATGATTTACGGTTTTCTCAAGTTTCAGTTCTAGGTTTTAATGGGCAGAGCTAAATCGGGGCCTATCTACGTAGATTGGCCCTTCATCTCAACGTTCCATGCTAAAAACAATGAGTGCTGTAGCATCTTCTAGCTAGCTATGCCATCGGCAGCAAGTGTATCTTCCCTGGATGTCAGGGACAGCTCGGTCTGTTTGTTCAAATTCCCCGGATGAAGAGATGAAGAACAGGTGGATTAACTTTGTGAAGAGGTACCACGATGGAGAGCTATTGTTCACTAATATCACCCGCCTCTGCAGTGCCCACGTTTTTTGGTTAACCGCCTTTGGCTGTTTAGTGGGGCCGAAACATCTGTCTCCCCCACTGACCGTCACATGCCCGCCTCGGAGACACCTGGCTCCTTCACGGACAGTGGATGCCTGCATGTCAGTGTAAGTTGCCCTTTTTTGCTGTATGTTAATAGTTAATCTATATCAAAGTTTTTGTTGGCAAGTGAACTAATATAACGTGATTTTATTGTGTAGCCTAGCATGACTTTCATATCTAAGGTGGTCAAGTTTATGATTATTAGGTGAAGGGATGCCTCCCATTTTTTGGTTGGGAGAGAGAGAGGGAATGTGTAGTGTAAGATTAAAGTTAGCATCCAGCTCTAATCAAATATGACAGATGTGTGTAAGATAATAATAATCGGTCATATCAACGGGTAACGTTATTTTGGAGGAAAATAAATGACCGCGCTGCAACAGCCAGGGTTTTTCTAAATCTCCGCTAGTAGCATGGCTATTGTTGTTGTTGTAAATGATGCCTTCTTTGTCTAAATAACCAGACGGAGACGGCTTGAAATGGCACGTCTGCGACCGCCACCACACCAGTCCCTGACCGCCTTTGCGCAGTTCTCTGACCGAGTACTGCACGTTATTTTACTGCAGTTTAGAGATTATTATACGTGTCAGTATTTTTCATTAGCAAGCAAATTAAACTATTATCTGTTTTCACATAGTCTCCTCCAACAACAAGAGACGGGGTGCCAGTGAGACAACACACAGAAAGTCACCAGAGAGGACAGACCTCTCTGTGGGCAAGAGGACAGTGGCCACAATTGTCTTGGAGAACACTAGGCAACAGAAAAACTACAGTTATGTTGAGATATAAAGGTCTTATTTGCTCTTTGTGAATGTCTATGACTTTAAGGCAAACTTTCTAGATATGCACTATATGTACATCAAAGAAAACACTGCTTAAATTATATTCTTCAAAGATTTGAATGAGTACAACACAGGAAGAAATTATCTGTAATATTCATCATGTTGAGTCTGACACAGTTATTTTATAAGCCCCCTGCTGATGTTACTGCTGTGGTAAAAACGTAAAAATTGTGACTGAATGAATACAGTATTTTACACATTTTACTGACATACAGTTTACTAATGTTTTCATGCAAGAGAGAAGACCATACGGGCTGTACAAAATCTTGCAACATTGATGGTCAAAGTGCTTCTAAAAATGTTAAGATTTATTTTCTAACTACATAGCTGTAACTCTGTATACAATGCACAGAAACAATTGTACTATTATTTGCACATGTATTCTCCAGGTAGCCAACAGGAGCGTTGCTGTGGGAAGCACAGTATCCCAAGTTCTCCCGCTCTTCTCATCTACTCCACTCAAGCGAAAAACTGCACCACCTGACAGCCCACCTACAAAACGCCCTCTTGGCGTTTCCGTCACAACAGTTCCAACTTTGCAAATCCTGATGACACCACCTACCTCCCCAGTATTTTTGAACTTGTTGACACCACCACTGAACAGTTAGTTCACTTTGTTTGTTAGATATTTGTAGATATTGGAAAAAAGAACTAATGGGTTAATTTATTCCTCGTCATTTTTTAATTTGCCTGTCATGACTGAAATTTCTCTGCCATGTAATTGAAGTATGAACAGACAGAGCCAAGGCAGTGCAGGACATGCTGAAGTACTTGGTGTATGAGGACTGCCTCCTGGAGCTTTTTAAAATCTGCCCCACCTGCTCCAGACTCTGTGAAGTTGACACGTTTGTTAAAGGAACATTCCTCTCTGTAACCCAGAAGTGCCTCTACACGTGTCTCTTCCTCAAGAGTCCACAGCCCTGATAACACCTGCTGAGAGTGAGAGGAGGGGAGAGGACACCAACTAGAGAACCCAGAACTATGAGGAACGGAGGAAGCCAAGTTAGTAACATACATGTGTGGGAATGGATTTGTACAGAAAGAGAGGGAATGGAGGAACGTATTCAAAGTTTATTAAATAACTTTATATAAAACACATGTCCAAACATAACAATAAATTAACTTGGAAATAATTTAAATTGGAGGCCTAAAACCGGTGTACTCTTCCTCTTCATCAGGGTACTCCTAGTGGATACAGACAACAACGCAGGAAGGTATCACTACCCGGTTGTGTTTTCCCAGGTATCCCCAGCACCAGAAAACGAAGGATGCCAGGTAGCGAGCATGCCTATAATGACAATCGTAAAAAAGTAATGTGATTATATATTCTTCAAGATTTATTTTGGTCTAAGTGGTCTTATAGTCTTGTTTTCTAATTTTCTCTGTCTTACACAGCACATCGTGATCCCTATAAGATGAAAGATGGATCAACCTGCAGCGTGTCTGAAATCTATTTGGCTGTATGGATTGGCCTGGACATCTGTTTTTTTTCTTTGTTTGCTTTAAGTTACATTAATTATCCACAACCATACATGTTTAGTTTTGACTAATAATCCAGTTGTAGTGAAGCGTTATCACAAAATGTTAAAGTCAAATGATTTTAATACATGATGTGTGGATATTATCAGGTCTAAATTAAGCATCAGCATCAGCTGGACTTCATTTTTAACATGAGTGGAGCTGTAGCTCGGGATGATGAGATGTCATACTGGGGGGGGGACACCACTTTTTTCTGATTTATTTGGCCTAGGTGGATGACTGCTCTCTACTGAGTATATTCTCTAGTCATTTTTGGATGTTCACTAACTTGTGTTTGTACTGTCTAGAACTTTTGTTAATGTAAAACATTATTTTTGATTATTTACATTTGTCTGTAGGCACCACATGAGTGCAGGCTTTTTATTTATAGCTCAGAGACACTTTACATTCTAATTGTTTGGCTGTGCATTGATCCTGACAATACCAAACCTGAGTTAAACTAACACTAAACCAATTCTGTATTTCCTAAAGCTCTAAAACTTTAAGAAATGCATTCAATTTGACTAACATAACTGTTATTTTGACATTCCTAAATAAAAATGTTTTTTTCAGACTTACACAGCTCTCTCTTTCATCTCCAGTGGTCCATGGTCTGTCTGATAAATATTCAGAGCATTCTGCAGGGAGTAGGGGTTCAGGCAGACAGGCTCAAGGCCTGGATGAAGAGTCATGCAGTGTGGCTCCTCTGGAGGCTCCAGACATTTATTCTGAACCTGTTGGAGTATGTGTTAGGTGTTTCAGTTCTGACGGTCCAGTATTCATCTTGTGTATTCATATTTTGAATGATCATTTTGTATAGGGAAACTATATATAAATTTTCTTTACATACGGCATTAAGCTGCTTGCAGCACACACTTTCCATCTCTGTGGGCATCATCCTGCACTCTCCACAGGTGCACCTGTTCAAATATGGTTTAATTAACAGTGACTAAGATATCGGAAATATTATGTGTTAAACTACATTTATCTCAATACTACTGAGTATATCCTGTTGCGTAGCTTTTGTGTTGTAATTATGAAAATCAGCGGTTCACACATCAAGCTTGAGGACCTGCAGGTACAGTATGTAGATAAAACTGACAATAGAATTTTTAGCTAGGTGATATTGATAACAGTGGGGTTATTTTACCTTTATTGTGTACAGAAGGCTGTAAATGGAGCACTAGTTTTCCCTTATTATTGATCACAAAAATGTTAAACTTGACCAAATAGTAATAAAAATCAAAGGCAATTATAGTGTGAGGATGGCTGCCTGGTTAATAAATAAATGCAAAGCAAAAAGTGGTAAAGTTACATATTTTTTTTTGTAGTGGTTAGCTAAACTTATTTCATTTGGCTAGCTATGCTATTGAGAAACAGGCTTCCATTACACATTGATAGACTAAACCAAAATGATGGAGAAAAAAAAATACCATTCTGTGACAGACAGGTCTGTTAGAGGAGCTGAGGCCTCCATAGTCAGGTCATTTACATTTTTGACAGTTAAGAAGGGAACGTCTCTCCGCGAGTGGACGTGGCTTCGGCACATTCCATGGACACGCCCACAGCCTCCCAGAGGAGAGAGAACAGCTACATTTTTCATGATTTTGAAGCTTAATTTTATAAACTTATAGGTTTTTTTCATTGCTGAAATTTGGCCTGGT